AATAACAATTTTAAAAACTAAAAACTATATCCTCTCATTCAAGTCCTTATCCGTTCCATCGTCTTGGGCCATTCCTGGGTCATTTTCCAATTCAAGTTTGTCTATTTATTCGAAGGTTCCAAATGCTTGCTGGAAGAGCCAAGTTTTAACTCTTTTTCAAAAGGTCAGGAGGGAGGTGGCTGATCTAATATCCCTAGGCAGGGAGTTCCACAGCCAAGGGGCCACCACAGAGAAGGCCCTGTCTCTCGTCCCTGCCAGACATTGATGTTGGCCAATACATCACATTTTCAGCTGCTGCAAGAAGATCGTGCAGACAGACTACAAGCAGAGGCATAACACGGTTGCTCAGATGATTCATTTGGAACTTGTGCCACAAATACCATCTGCCTGCGACAAAGAACTGGTGAGATCACAAGCCGGAAAAAGTTACAGAAAATGAACACGTCAAGCTACTCTGGGACTTCTGAATTCAGACAGACAGAGTTCTGGACCTCAAAACTCCTGACCTCACAATCGTGTTAAAAAACAAAGTATGGATTGTCGATGTTGCAATCCCAGGTGATAGAAGTGAAACAACTGGAAAAGCTGACACAATATGAGGATTTAAAGATCGAACTGCAGAGACTCTGGCACAAGCCAGTAAAGTTAGTCCCAGTAGTGATTGGCACACTGGGTGCAGTGCCTAAAGACCTTGGCCTGCACTTAAAAACAATCGGCGCTGACAAAATTACCATCTGCAGAAGGCCATCTTACTGGGATCTGCACGCATTATTTGCCGATACATCACACAGTCGTAGACTCTTGTGTGATCCAGTACAACAGCCAGCAGACCGATCTTGTTTGCTGTGTACTAATCTCTTAATCCTGTTGTGTTAATAATAATAATAATAATAATAATAATAATAATAATAATATACCAGTCCTAGATGCTTGATACGAAATCCAGCATATAGATCACATTTGCTGCGACATACTGTGTTTTGTGTCAGAATAATAATAATAATAATAATAATAATAATAATAATAACAACAACAATAATAATACCATTTTATATGGAGAAGACCAGGGTTCAAGCCCTCCACTTTCTGGTTGACCACAATGAACCCTGGTGTCTATTAAATCAAGAACTAGAAACTGTCTTTTGTTCATTATATTTTAATCCTTGTTCTGTGTATCTTAATAGATGTATTTTGTAGAACTACGCTTCCATGTGTGTGTCTTACTTAATGATTATGTGTTTGTAGCAATTGTGTTACTCACCTCAAGCCATGTAGAGAAGCCGGTAAGAAATAACATAATAATGATAATAGCAATAATAATAATAATAATAATAACAACAACAACAACAACAACAACAACAACAACAACAACAACAACAACAACAACAAAAATAATAATAATGGAAAAATAAATTATGGATTGTCAATGTTGCAACCCCAGGTGACATCCGAATTGACGAGAAGCACTTGGAAAAGCTTACTCGATATGAGGATTTAAAGATCGAACTACAAAGATTCTGGCTCAAGCCAATAGAGATGGTCCCAGTGGTGATTGGCACACTGGGTGCAGCACCTAAAGACCTTGGCCTGCACTTAAAAACAAATTATGGATTGTCAATGTTGCAACCTCAGTTGACATCCGAATTGACGAGAAGCACCTGGAAAAGCTTACTCGATATGAGGATTTAAAGATCGAACTACAAAGACTCTGGCTCAAGCCAACAGAGGTGGTCCCAGTGGTGATTGGCACACTGGGTGTGGCACCTAAAGACCTTGGCCTGCACTTAAAAACAAATTATGGATTGTCAATGTTGCAACCCCAGGTGACATCCGAATTGACGAGAAGCACCTAGAAAAGCTTACTCGATATGAGGATTTAAAGATCGAACTACAAAGACTCTGGCTCAAGCCAGTCAAGGTGGTCCCAGTGATGATTGGCACACCGGGTGCAGCACCTAAAGACCTTGGCCTGCACTTAAAAACAATCAGCGCTGGCAAAAATTATCATGTCAGCTGCAAAAGGCCACATTACTGGGATCTGCATGCATTATTCGCCGATACATCACACAGTCATAGACACTTGTGAAGTGTCTGATGTGTGATCTAATACAATAGCCATGTTGGGTCTGTATCCCAAATATGATTCAGATCTGTTGTCAGCTGGGTTCAGTACTTTTTGAATATGAGTGAGCTACAACTCCCATATGGCAAAGTCAATAACCCCCAAACCCCACCTTTATGTGACCTTGTTTGCTGTGTATTAATCTTGTGTTTCAAATAATAACAACAATAAGCCAATTCAGAATATGAACATATTTTTCTGCTGTGAAAGTGTAAACTCAAACTTGAGAAGGGTCCACGTGTGATCAAATACAAAAGCCAGCAGAGTGATCTTGTTTGCTGTGTACTAATCTTGTTGTGCATCTAGTAATAATAATAATAATAATAATAATAATAAATCAACTTGTCTGTACAGAGAAAAGGGATCAGTGTTGTGCACACTTTGTCCATTCCTCTTGGAAGAGAAAGAAAGAGAAAAGGCTAAAAGTGGGTTAAACATTAAGCGAGGCTCACTTCCTCTTTGCAGTTGAGTCTTTGCAGACTCACCCTTTGAGCTCACTTTGCAGAAGAGGACGCACCAGCGACGGGGTGGAAACCACTCCCTTTGACCAAACTCCTGGCAACAAGCAACGCCCAGTGCTATAGGGCCATGCAGGAAGAAGGGCACTCTGGACATGTTCAGATGCCACAGCAAGTGACCTTTGTGCAGCAAAGGTTGTCCCAAGTCCTGCATGATCTTCATCATTCTCTTCCAAAGGGGTTCCTGTGACCATCAGAGTCTTGCTTATCCGACATAAAGGGGCCGGCAGAATGTCGGATAAATGAAAACGTCGGCTAATACAGAGGCTCTTACTGTTGCCAGTCCAACGTGGCGCTAGATACCTAGAATTCTAACAACAGAGACTCAAAGGCTTAAGTCAAGGCAGCGCCTTGGGGTAGAGTAGCCCAGTAGGAAGTGGCCAGATGCGGAAGAGGAGCGTGGGAAATCACAGAGGGAAGGAGGGAGGACGCTTCCGCTTTGGGTCCTGCCTCTTTTCCCCCTTTCCTTCCTCCTTGTCCTCCTCGTCTTGCCTTTTTCACTTATTGGGAATGGAGAGAAAGTTGGGGAGCACTCCTTTAATTGAAGGAGAAATTCTGGAGGAAAAGGGGGGGGGGCTTGGATAAGACGGAGTGTCAGATAAGCAAGACTCTACTGCAGGGGTCCTCAAACTAAGGCCCGGGGGCCGGATACGGCCCTCCAAGGTCATTTACCCGGCCCTCGCTCAGTCTAAAACGACTTGAAAGCACACAACAACATTCCTATCTCATCAGCCAAAAGCAGGCCCACACTTCCCATTGCAATACTAATACGTTTGTATTTGTTAAAATTGTTCTTCATTTTAATTATTGTATTGTTTTAAAGTGTTTTTTGCACTACATATAAGATATGTGCAGTGTGCATAGCAATACTGGGCTGGCACGGCTGTGCCAGGAGATTTGAATTTCTTTTTCTTGCACTGTTAGTTTGCATGAATCCATTTGAGCCATGCATTTTGCAATTGGGTAGCTTTCCCCAGGTTGCAGTCATAGGGCCAACTACCTATCAATCATCGTTAGAGCCTTTAGATCTGCCCTTTTCCCCAGGTTTGGAGGGAAAAGGGGACTTTCAATTCAGTCTCACAGTTTGGAGCCTTACAGCAGGACGTGTGGGCTTTCTCTGTCCCACCTGCAAAAGGCTTAACTTCTTACAGCTCTGCTGGGGTTAAAGAAACAGATCTATGGTCAGCTTTGCTGGGGAGTAAAGTTACAGTTCCACAGCTTTGCTGGAGGAATACAGCCAGCCTTTGCTGGGCAAAGGAAATAGTTCCTACAGCCTTCGTGGAGAAACTAAAAGGACGCCAGCTTGGCAGATCTACAGCAACCATTGCCTGGTAAGGGACCACTCGGGCTATCCACAATGCAGCTTGGAGCCGGGAGTTGGGGCCTCACGCCAGCAGGGTTAAGAAAGATTGCCCAAGGAGGGTAGGAAGGTTTCCCTAAAGAAGACAGGAACAGTTTATTAAGCAGTTGCCTGTCCCTTGTTGGCAGATCGAGAAAGCTACCAGTTTTTCAAGATTATATAGCATCTAATTCATTTGTTCGAAGATTTAAGCCTTAATAAAGAACTTTGTTGGACTTATTTTGAGCCTCTACAGAACTTTGTGTTGGGAAACCTATGGGACCCCTTAGCTGAGGCACCCCGGCGTCCCGTTGGACATACAGAAAGCACATCCTGTAAACAGACATTGTCATAGGGTGACCGCATCTCTGTATACGAACCCACATGTTCTCTCCGTTCATCTGGAGAGGCCCTGCTTGCGATCCCACCTGCATCGCAGGCATGATTGGTGGGGACGAGAGAGAGGGCCTTTTCGGTGGTGGCTCCTCGACTCTGGAGCTCACTTCCTAAGGACATCAGGCAGGCCCCAACTCTGGCAGTCTTTAGGAGGAGCTTGAAGACGTGGTTGTTCCAGTGTGCCTTCCCAGAATAATGATTCCATAGCACTTTGTCCTCCAAAGCACTTTACATTTTTTAGGTCTGCTTGTTTTCCACAAACGCCCCATCACTTTTTCGCCCATGTTCCAGCATTACTTCCAATTTTAATTTTACATTTGGCCTTCCCATAGTTTTAATCGTGTGGTCTTATTGTTAATGTTGCATTATTATTGTCCATGTTTTTTATTTTAATTGCTTGTATTGTTGTTATTATTGCTTGTATTGTTGTATTTGGGCTCGGCCTCATGTAAGCCGAACTGAGTCCCTTGGGGAGATGGTAGTGGGGTACAAATAAAGTGTTATTATTATTATTATTAGCCCCCCCCCCCCCGGTGGCGCAGTGGGTTAAAGCACTGAGCTGCTGAGCTTGTTGATCGAAAGGTCGCAGGTTCGATTCCGGGGAGCGGCGTGAGCTTCCGCTGTCAGCCCTAGCTTCTGCCAACCTAGCAGTTCGAAAATATGCAAATGTGAGTAGATCAATAGGTACCGCTCTGGCGGGAAGGTAACGGCGCTCCATGCAGTCATGCCGGCCACATGACCTTGGAGGTGTCTACGGACAACGCTGGCTCTTCGGCTTAGAAATGGAGATGAGCACCACCCCAGAGTCAGACATGACTGGACTTAATGTCAGGGGACTACCTTTACCTTATTATTATTATTATTATTATTATTATTATTATTATTATTATAGGTCCAGCGCTGTTTTTTCCAACAGTTTGAGGGACTGTGACCTGGCCCTTTGTTTAAAAAGTTTGAGGACCCCTGCTCTACTGTATGTGTTTTCTGATGGTCTCTGGCGATCCCCCTGAAACCCTCCTCGTGACCCCCCCCAGGGGTCCCGACCTCCAGGTTGAGAAACAAATGGCTCACCTTCTCAGTTTCGCTTGCATAGGAAAGGATGAGAAAAACACCAATGCTTGCTGATAGCCCAAAATAGATTTCTAGTCATTGTGGGTGGGGATATCAGCATATCAGCCACCCAAGCATTGCTCCACCTTCTGCAAATGCGAGCGAAGATTTTTTTATTTATTTGCAGCATTTATATTCCGCCCTTCTCACCCCGCAGGGGACTCAGGGCGGATTACAGTGTACACATATATGGCAAACATTCAATGCTAATTTTTGACATACAAACATATACAGAGATACACAGAGGCTATTTAACTTTTTCTGGCCACCAGGGGAGCTGTCGCTTTCATCGTCCATCTGTGATGCTGATGAAGCACGTCCGCATTCCCCGCATGCTTCCCCTGGAATGCTTTGCTGGAGTCTTCTTTATGGCCTCATAAATCAGTTAATTTAGCCTCCCCACACTTTAAGGTGGTACCTTATTTTCCTACTTGACAGATGCAACTGTCTTTCGGGTTGCAAAGGTCGACAACAGACTACACAATTGGTTGGAAACCCATTCCAACCCGGGCTGGCTTCAAACTCATGATCTTTTGGTCAGAGTGATCTTAATGCAGCTGACACTCAGTCAGCTGCGCCACAATCCTGGTGGTGCACTCCCTGGTTACACCGACACAAAAAGAGCCAAACACACCGTCGCAGAACCATTCGAAAGAAAAGAGCAGGCTGACCCAGCATTTGGTAATACAGGTATCTATTTTATTAAAAAAGTTATAAACAGGTGGACCATAGGCTTGTCTTACAAAAGAAGAACCAATGAAAACCAGGTGGATGGAGTTAAGAGGCGGCCTTTTCCAACCTTTGCAAGGCATCCTTTGCTCTGCTTTTTTTGCTCTTTGATCCGTGCCCGGATTTTGTCTCCAAACATTTCTCATTGGTGAAAAGGACATACAGTACATTGGATACAAGAAGGGCGGTATTGTTTTGGGGGGCCTGTGAGTGGTGTCTCGACAGCAAGAGCCGTGTGCTATGAGCGGAGAATCGGGGCCCAGAGTTAGGTCTGACTTGCCTCGCTTTGCACCCGGAAAAGGGGAAAAACAACCCTTCTGGGTCCATCTCAGCCTCCCTAAATCGCTCCAACTCCAGCCAATAAAAGGCCTGGAAAAACCTGAAAATGGCCTTTATTTGAAGAGCCTCTCCCAAGCGAAGGATGCGATCCTCACGTGCCAAAAAGACACCTTTGCAGATTTGCATCTCATTGTTAAATGATGTAAAAGCAACCATTTACCACTGAACATTTTTGGTCCCTTATTTCAGCCTTTCCTTTTAAAACAGGCATTGACTCAAAATGGAATTTGAACACAATTTTAATCATGGAAATTGGACAATTTGAATTCTGGGTCCCATTGGCGCATCTTTCACGGCCAGGCCGGGTTTGGAAACAATCTTCAGTTGGGCGTCTTCTATTAAAGTGCAAACCAAACTTGAAAGATTTCCAATCTGGGAAGCCAGAAGTTAATATTTACTAGTATTTACGAGGACTCAATGGGGACAACCGTTATGGGGTTACGTCTCTCTTTTCGGATGTAGAGTTGTCTTCCTTCAAACAAAAACTCTAGCTTTTGTTGCCAATGCATTCTGGGATATCACTCAGCTAATCAATATCACTTTATAGCCATCATATTTACTAGTATTCACTAGGACTCAATGGAGACAACTGAGATGCAGTTACTTCTCTCTTTTCGGATGTAAAGTTGCTTCTCTTCAAACAAAAACTCTAGCTTTTGTTGCCAATGCATTCTGGGCTATCATTCGGCTAATCAATATCACTTTATAGCCAATGCAGTGTTGCTAATCACTGGGCCAATCGATATCACTAAATGACCATAATATTTACTAGTATTTACTAGGACTCAATGGAGACAACTGTTATGCTGTTGCATCTCTCTTTTGAGGTGTAAAGTTGCCTCCCTTCAAACAAAAACTCTAGTTTTTGTTGCCAATGCAGTGTTGCCAATCACTGGGCCGATTGATATCACTCAATGACCATAATATTTACTAGTATTGACTAGGACTCAATGGAGACAACCGTTATGCTGTTACATCTCTCTTTTGAGATGTAAAGTTTACTTCCTTTCAAAGAAAACTCTAGCTTTTGCTGCCAATGCATTCTCAGTTATCATTGGGCCAATCAGTATCACTTAACAACTATAATATTTACTAGTTTTTACTAGGACTCAATGGAGACAACCGTTATGCTGTTACGTCTTTCTTTTCGGATGTATAGTTGTCTCCGTTCAAACGAAAATTCTAGTTTTTGTTGCCAATGAAATTGCCAATCACGGAGCCGATCGATATCACTCAATGACCATAATATTTACTAAGACTCAATGGAGACAACCGTTATGCTGTTACATCTCTCTTTTGAGATGTAAAGTTATCTCCTTTCAAACAAAAACTCTAGCCAATGCATTCTCAGTTATTGTTGGGCCAATCGGTATCACTTAACAACTATAATATTTACTAGTTTTTACTAGGACTCAATGGAGACAACCGTTATGCTGTTATGTCTCTCTTTTCAGATGTAAAGTTGTCTCCCTTCAAATGAAAATTCTAGTTTTTGTTGCCAATGCAGTGTTGACAATCACTGGGCCGATCAATATCACTCAATGACCATAATATTTACTAATATTTACTAGGACTCAATGGAGACAACCATTATGCTGTTATGTCTCTCTTTTCGGATGTAGAGTTGTCTCCCTTCAAACAAAAATTCTAGTTTTTGTTGCCAATGCAGTGTTGCCAATCGATATCACTTAATGGCCAAATAATTTCTGTCTATGTATTGCGTAGGTCCGTGATGGCGAACCTATGACACGCGTGTCAGTACTGACACGTGTAGACATTTTTGATGACACGCGGCTGCAGACAGAGAAGTTTGGGTCTACATCCCAAGAAGGACATTTCATCCTTGGCTCCTGCATGGCCAGGTGCAGAAGCCGAGGATAAAACATTTGCAGTAGTTTAGCATCTAGTTCTGGAACTTCCAGTTAGGCCATTAGGGAGCAGGGAGCGGCGGAATGCCGTGGGGGACACATCTCTGGGGGCCTTGTGATCTCCATCACCAGCAACCACATAATCACAGCAACCATCATCCAATTTACTGTTCTGGGGTGTTGTGGATTTCTAAGTGACCATCATTACTGAGAAAAGTGAGGGGAGGAGGGAGCTGGGAGAGGCGAGAGTCTGAGTTATGGGTGCAATTTCCCGCCATATATTATTACTAGTATTCATTTTTGTTATTTAAACTGTAAATATCGCAAAATTATAGGGTTTTTTTTCTCTCGAAGTGACTGTTGGGGCTCAGCTTCCGTGTGAACCTGAGCCTGTCTCTGTGTGAACCTGAACCTGATTCTCTGATTGTATTTCCTGATGCAACTGAACAGGCTTCTGAACATGTATCTTTCCCTGATGGTTTTGAAACTGTTAATTCTGAGGTCAGTGCCGGGGAAAATGAAACTAACTCTCCTGATGAGAATGTTTTGGAACCAAGCAGTGATAGCTCTCCGGAGGAACTCACACCTGGGTTTTTTAATGAGGATCGAAGGAAACAGATTTGGAAAAACAGGAGTGAATCGCAGGGGCTGCGAAGGTCAAGTAGATTAAGGGAAAGGGAGGCTCAGGCTTCCAAGTCTGGAGGCGTGTCAAGGAACAGTTTCTTTAGTTTAAGGGGCCTCTCTCCGAGCTGTCTCGTTAGATCAAGCATCGTTTAGACTGAGGCAACACCTTGGCAGATTTCCCGTTTCCCATGGCCTGCATTCCCAGAGGCTTTCAAGTTTTCAAGTACGGTTAGTGAGATGCTAACAGGTTCCAGGTTTTTGTATTGTTTGCTTTTGGAATTTTGCTCTAGTTCAGAGATTTTCCTGACTGCTGAGTTTCTACTGTGGCTTTTTGACTTTGCATTTACTTTTCTTTTGTAACCATTTTTCATCAATAAAAAGGATTGTTTGTTCCCACAGTCCAGTGTGGTGGATTTAATCTTATGGTCTCGTTTCCTGATCTGGGATGCAACAGTGACACCCCACCCAAGTAATGCTTGCTTTTTGGTGAACTTTGACACACCAAGCTCAAAAGGTTGCCCATCACTGGCGTGGGTCATACTGTTGTAGTAGAGCCTGTTAGTAACACTGCAAGTGATAGTATGGGTGTTAGAAGAAGGAAAAGGAGTCTTGAGGCGTCTGGGTTCCGACACATACTGAGTTTAGAGTTTCCATTAAGAAAATCAGAGTGTTAAAAATGAAAGAATGGCGTCCAAATGGCTTGGGACAGGCTCTTGAAATCTGCAATTCATAGTGGATGGGAGGACATGGGTTTCCAGATCAAACTCAAACGCTGCAACTATTTATAACCTCTTTGTTCGGCCTCAATCCTGCATTTGTGGAAGTTTCAAGTATCCAGACCAAAAGAAAATAAAAGAAAAACCCAGTTAAAAGAACGGGGAAATTCTGCAGAAGGCAACGGCTGAGAGACGCATTGGGTGACTGTCGTCAAGACAACAAACAGCAAAGGAAAGCGCATAAAATAGGGGGGGAAACCTTCAGTGCAAGACGAGCACCAAGCAAAAGAAATATTGCTCCGAAATATCAATAAAAAGTATCTGTTTAAGAACTAAAAACCATACAGTCCTTTTGAAAAAATTTGACATGTGCTCACATTGTCATCTTGGGGAAACCCATGCTCCAAAACGCAAAGCGAAGGGTTACTTCCAAGTCAATAAGCATCCGAAACAAAACCGTTTCAGAGGCGCATCGGACATTTCTAAAAACCTTCCGAGATCTAAATGCCGTAGAAGAACAGAGAACACGCATCGTAACCCAACTCGCTGGGCCCTGCTTTGCAAAAAGGGAGGTTGGAACACCCCTCGAAATCGAACTTGAACTCTCTTTATCTAGAACACCCCCTCCCACCAAACATTTCAACCAATGACATTTCGGGATGAGAGGAAAAACCATTTTTGACTATTGCAAATGAACCAAAAAAAAAAAAACCAAAATAAAAATCAAGCACGGATGTGAGGTAATATACAGAAGTAACCATTCGTTTTAAGGCTCAATTTCTTATTCTCCGTTGCTAATTTCTTCTTTAAAAAAAGGCATTTAAGTAGGTAATACTGAGTTTAGAGTTAAATAATAAATACAAGTGTTTGTTTTTTTGGAACTCAATTAAAGAAATATTTTTTTAAAAATCGCTGCATATTAGCCGTTAATAGGAACTTAGAAAGCTATTTCTTAAAAATAAGAACAAGTAACCAAAAGAAAGGATTCAAGAGATTGAAAGAACAGATATTCCAAAATGTATGGTAAACATGCTAAGCGTTTTTCTGTCGCCGGCCGAGGAAAGGGCCTCCGCGGTTGCCTCTCACCCTCTTTTTTGAGTGTTTGCCTTGCACTCGATGCCTGGAAACGGGCGCGAAAGAGAGACAGGGCGGATTGAGGCTCAGTTTTGCAGCCTGGGCTGGAAAAGGGTTCTCCAAAGCAGCATCTGTGCAAATCTCCTCTGAGTTTTATCTGCGGCAAAGGCAAAAACATAGTCAGGGCAGGGATTATACGAGAGACACAACTCAAAGGGGCCTCCTGCTCCCCTACTTCATTATACCTTCCATATAAGGAGCCCCCGGTGGTGTAGTGGGTTAAACCCTTGTCACAGATTCAAATCTGAGGAGAGCGTGGATGAGCTCCCTCTGTCAGCTCCAGCTCCCCATGCAGGGACATGAGAGAACAAGGATGTAAAACATAAAAACATCCAGGCGTCCCCTGAGCATCATCCTTGCAGACGGTCAATTCTCTCACCCTAGAAGCGACTTGCAGTTTCTCAAGTCGCTCATGACATGGAAATAAAAAACCCCAACCAATTCTTTGTTTTCAAAATCCAGTGATCACAGGGACAGAAAGTTAGGTGGAATCTTCTGAACTGGAGCACAGACAACAAGGGAAACACCACAGGGGTGTTAACCCTTCCCTATGCTATTCAAAGCTGATAATAATAATAATAATAATAATAATAATAATAATAATAAAACTTTGTTTATATACCGCTCTATCTCCCCGAGGGGACTCAGAGCGGTTCCCAGAACATACAAAGTAAAAACAAACATAACCATAAGATTAACAAAACAAAATATGCATAAAAATTGTCGCCATAACACACATATAATAAAAGTAATCCTGCCTGTTCAAGGCAATTCAAAAAAAATATAAAAGGCCAGGCCAAGATTTGTGCAAGCCCAAAAATTCTAGGGGGCCCGGGAATTAAATGCAATGCTATGGCAGGCAACAATAATATTAGGTACGGGTCTGTGGCTGTTCATTCCAGGGCCGACTAGAGGAAATGATCTGGGTAATTGGTAGGAAGAATAAGGCCGTATTCGACAATGTGGGGCTGAGTTAGAACTGGCCATTTTCAAAGGCTTGTTGAAACCACCAGGTCTTCAAGCTCTTACGAAAGGAGGGGAGGGATGGGGCCTGTCTTATTTCCCTTGGAAGGGCATTCCAGAGGTGGGGGGCCACCACTGAGAAGGCCCTCTCTCTCATCCCCACCATCCGCGCTTGAGACGGTAGTGGAATCGAGAGGAGGGCCTCCCCGGAAGATCCTAGAATTCGCACTGGTTCATAGGAGATGCGATCATGGAGATAGGCGGGGCCTGAACTGTTTAGGGCTTTATAGGTCATGACCTGCACCTTGAATTTGGCTCGGCAACTTATCGGCAGCCAATGAAGCTGTTTTAATAGGGGTGTTGTATGCTCCCTATAATTTGCTCCAGTAAGGAGCCTGGCTGCCGCCCATTGTAACAGTTCAAACTTCTGGGCCATCATCAAGGGCAGCCCCACGTAGACCGCATTGCAATAGTCCAGTTTGGATGTAACCAAGGCGTAGACCACCCTGGCCAAGTCAGACTTCACGAGGTATGGTCGTAGCTGGCGCACAAGTTTGAGTAGTGCAAAGGCCCTCCCGGCCACCGCTGACACCTGAGCATCAAGCGACAGCGTTGAATCCAAGAGGCAAGATACTCCACTTTGGCAGGAAAAACGAAATGCAAAGTTACAGAATGGGGGGCGATGCCTGGCTCGAGAGCAGTATGTGTGAAAAAGATCTTGAGTCCTCGTGGACAACAAGTTAAACATGACCCAGGAATGTGATATGGCGGCAAAAAAAGCCAATGGGATTTTGGCCTGCATCAAGAGGAGCCTAGTGTCTAGATCTAGGGAAGTCATGCTCCCCATGCTCTATTCCACTTTGGTTAGACCACACCTGGAATATTGTGTCCAATTCTGGGCACAACAATTCTGGAATGTGTCCAGAGGAGGGCGACTAAAATGATCAAGGTCTGGAGAACAAGCCCTATGAGGAGCGGCTTAAGGAGCTGGGCATGTTTAGCCTGAAGAAGAGAAGGCTGAGAGGAGATATGATAGCCATGTATAAATATGTGAAAGGAAGCCACAGGGAGGAGAGAGCAAGCTTGTTTTCTGCTTCCTTGGAGACTAGGACGCGGAACAATGGCTTCAAACTACAAGAGAGGAGATTCCATCTGAACATGAGGAAGAACTTCCTGACTGTGAGAGCCGTTCAGCAGTGGAACTCTCTGCCCGGAGTGTGGTGGAGGCTCCTTCTTTGGAGGCTTTTAAACAGAGGCTGGATGGCCATCTGTCAGGGGTGATTTGAATGCAATATTCCTGCTTCTTGGCAGAATGGGGTTGCAAACTGTGCCAACAAAGAGAAAAAATAGGACAAGTGCAAAGAAGCCAGAATGGATGTCCAAAGAACTTCTAACTGTGCTAAAACACAAAAGAGACATGCACAAGTGGAAAAAGGGAGAAATCACCAAAGAAGAATTCAAACAAATAGCCAACACATGTAGGGAACTCTCTGCCTCGGAGTGTGGTGGAGGCTCCTTCTTTGGAAGCTTTTAAACAGAGGCTGGATGGCCATTTGTCAGGGGTGATTTGAATGCAATACTCCTGCTTCTTGGCAGAATGGGGTTGGACTGGATGGCCCAGGAGGTCTCTTCCAACTCTTGGATTCTATGATTCTATGACCCCAAGCTACGGACCTGTGCCTTCAGTGGAAGTGTAACTCCGTCAAGCACGGGTTGCCACCCAATACCCCAGACAGCCCCGCGACTGACCAGGAGGACCTCTGTCTTGTCTGGATTAAGCTTCAACCTGTTAGCCCTCATCCAGTCCATCACAGCTGCCAGACACTGGTTCCTTGGAATTCGGTGGAAATGAGTAGTAGAGTTGGGTGTCATCTGCGCACAGATAGCCCACGAGGTCTCTTCCAACTCTCTTATTCTATTTTATGTATGTATATGTGTGTATACACATACACATACACGTTTCACATTATCACATTATCTCTACTTGGGTGGCAAACACGCGTCTTAGCTTGTGGGGGCGAGGAATGGCATTTTTATGTGACACAGTGGCATGCCAGTGTGTCGCAACACACTGTTTGGAAAGCTGCCTTACAGGGGCCTCTCACAAATACCATATTCAGCTGTAATTGTGAAGGGGAAGAGGCTGTGGAAGTCTGCAAGAAATGGGAGAGAAACATAAAGTTGGAAGAGACCCCATCCAGTCCAACCCCCTGCCAAGAAGCAGGAAAACTGCATTCAAGGCACCCCGACAGATGGCCATCCAGCTGCTGTTTAAAAGCTTCCAAAGAAGGAGCCTCCACCACACTCCTGACACCATTTTGGACAGATATTACTTCCTGCCACGATTTTGGAAAGGACTGTGAAGGAAAATTGAGGTGTTTTGGGCTCGCAATGGGAGGAATCTGGATGATGTGGGGCAGTGTTACTCATCCTTCCTAATGTCGCGACCCCTTCATACAATTCCTCATGTTGCGGTGACACCCAACCATACAATTATTTTCATTGCTACTTCATATCTGTAATTTTGCTACTGTTATGAAATGTAATGTGAATATCTGAGATGCAGGATGTATTTTCATTCACTGGACCCAATTTGGCACAAATACCTGATACACCCAAATTCAAATACTGGTGGGGTTGGGGAGGATTGATTTGTCATCCTGCCGGGAATATAGTTAGAATGATTTGCAAAAACTGAAATGCTGTAAATGCTCCCCTCTCATCCCTCTTTAGAGCTCGATCGAGAGAAAATAATGGAAGGGTTTGGTGGGCATTGACCTTGACTTTGGGAGTTGTAGTTCACCTACACCCAGAGGGCATAGTGGACTCAATGATGGATCTGGACCAAACTTGCCACAAATACTTAATATGCCCAAATGTGAACAGTGGAGGAGTTTGGGGAAAATAGATCTTGACATTTGGGAATTGTAGTTGCTGGGATTTATAGTTCACCTACAATCAAAGAGCATCCTGAACTCCACCAATGATGGAATTGAACCACACTTGGCACACACAACTCCCTTGAGCAACAGAAAATACTGGAAGGGTTTAGAGGGCATTGMCCTTGAGTTTTGGAGTTGTAGTTCACCTACACTCAGAGAGCACTGTGGACTCAAACAATGATGGATCTGGACCAAACTAGGCATGAATACTCAATATGCCCAAATGTGAACAGTGGTGGAGTTTGAGAAAAACAAACYTTGTCATTTGGGAGTTCTAGTTGCTGGGATTTATAGTTCACCTACAATCAAAGAGCACTCTGAACCCAGCCCACAATGGATCTGCACCAAACATGGCAGACTACCTACATGACCAACATTGAATACTGGTGGGGTTGGTGGGGGCRRTTTTTGAATTTGCTGTTCACCAACACCAAAAAGGAAGAGAAGGACAGGTGGAGAGATCTTCRGCTTTCTCTGCCAAAAGAGTTCCTAAGACCATCAGAAATGTTTTCTGATGGTCTTTGGTGACCCCTCGGAAACCCCCTTCATGACCTTGACTTTGGGAGTTGTAGTTCACCTACATCCAGAGAATACTATGGACTCAAACAATGACGGATCTGGACCAAACTTGGCATGAATACTCAAAATGCTCAAATGTGAACACCAGTGGAGTTTGGGGAAAATAGACCTTGACATTTGGGAGTTGTAGTTGCTGGGATTTATAGTAGATTTATAGATGTGGGGGGGGGGGGGGGGGGGATCCTGACTTCCTGATTAGAGGGCCTCTCTTACTTGCTTTCTATGGCAGACAACAACAGTGAGCTAACTGGGAGCTGGGAATGGAAAATTCTAATCCAGCGATCAGAATCTGTGGCACATCATTCTTATATTCAGGGCATCATAAACTCTAGTTATGGGGCCCCTGTCATAAAAAAACACACAGCAAGAGCTTCCTTATAAACAGGCTGCTTTCGGGGCGGGTGGACACTGCAGCCAGCTCTGCTACCCACCTGCTCTGTATGGCCATGATTGAGGTCCTGCTTTCTCTCGCTCACTGGACGACGCAGGTTGTGCAACACTGGTCCTGCTTTTCCGGCAAGGATGCATAGTTCATTTGCCTCACTATCTCTGCAAACAGTTCATCCACCATGGTCTTGCTCTTGGCGGAGGTCTCCATGAAGGGGCAGCCCCACTCCTGAGCCAAGGCCCGGCCCTCGGCGGACAGGACCTCCCGCTCCGATTCCAGGTCAACCTTGTTGCCCACCAGGATCAGGGGCACCTTCTCGTATCGCTTCACACGCACAATTTGGTCCCGCATTGGCTTGATGTCCTGCGGGAAAAACAAAACCACTGAGTGGCCTCCATTCTGGTCATGACCCTTCAGCACAGGTCATGCAGTATCCAGCTGGACCAAGCTGACTGTGTCAAGCAACATCAGTAAACACAACATCAGTAAACAATCAATAAAACACAAATCATATAAACAAAAAACAATCAATAGTGACATTAAACAATTTTAAAAATGGCCGGGCCAAATGTAATAGATTAAAATTGAAAATATGCTGACGTGAACAAAGTAAAATATAACTAGCATAGGATTTTTTGGAGAGAAATGAGGGAGCTGACCTCCCTTTCTGGGAGCTGTAGTTCACCCACAACCAGATAAACTGTGACCTCCACCAATGATGGACCTGGACCAAACCTGGCACACAGAACCCCCATGACTAGCACAACCTACTGGAGGGGTTTGAGGGGACTGACTCACCAGAGTGGGAGTTGTAGTTTATCCTACAGCCAGAGAGCACACAGAACCCCACCAATGTTCCATCCAGAGCAAACTTGCCCAACATAACAAACTTTAAGTACTGATGGAGTTTCTGCGTTTTTGTTGTTCTTTTTTTTTTTTTTGGTGTGCCAGGAGCGACTTGAGAAACTGCAAGTCGCTTCTGTTGTGAGAGATTTGACCGTCTGCAGAGTCCAGGATCACTCCCAAGCCTCCCTCTTGTCCTTCAGAAAGACTGGGTGGCCATCTGTCAAATTGACCAGTAGCAGCTGCATTTCTCACCCTCGGCTTATACTCGAGTCAATAAGATTTCCCAGTTTTTTTGTGGAAAAATCAGGTGTCTCGGCTTATATTCGGGTCGGCTTATACGTGAGTATATACGGTATGTATGTATTTTGATCTTGTATTGTATGATGTTTTAACTTGTATTAGTAGCATTGAATCCTTGCTGTAAGCCGGTCTGAGTCCCTCTATGGAGGTGAGAAGATCAGGATAGAAAAGTTTTAAATAAATAAATAATTCCATGTACTCTGGGCTCTATTTGAAAGAAATTGGCAAAAGCACCTTAAGAAAGCCCTCTGAAATTGATGGGGTTGCTATACGTTAACAGGCTACTGAAAGGCATACTCATATGCAGGACTAGCAAGAACTACATATTGTATAGATGGGGTTGCACTCCCCCTGAAGTCACAGGTCCATAGTCTGAGTGTCCTCCTGGACTCATCACTTACCTTGAGGCTCAGGCGTCAGCCAGGAGGACCTTTGCACAATTAAGACTCGTGCACCATCTGCGACCGTACCTCGTGAAGGCGGATCTGGCCAGGGTGATCCATGTCTTAGTCACCTCCAGATTGGACTACTGTAATGCACTCTACGTAGGGCTGCCTTTGAAGACGGCCCGAAATTTCAATTGGTTCAACGGGTGCCGGCCAGGTTGTTAACTGGTGCTCCATACAGGGAGCAGTCAACCCTCCTGTTTAAGGAGCTCCACTGGCTGCCATTCATTTTCCGGTCCCAATTCAAGGTGCAGGTTCTTACCTACAAAGCCCTGAACAGTTTGGGACCCGCCTACCTGCGTGACCGCATTTCTGTGTACGAACCCACACAATCTCTTCGATCATCTGGAGAGGCCCTGCTCACGCTCCCACCTCCATCGCAGGCGTGATTGGTGGGGACAAGGGAGAGGGCCTTCTCAGTGGTGGCCCCTCGACTCTGGAACTCACTCCCCAAGGACATCAGGCATGCCCCAACTCTGGCAGTCTTTAGGAGGAGCCTGAAAACGTGGTTGTTCCAGTGTGCCTTCCCAGAATAAGGAAACTCCCAGCAATATGTCCCTAAATGCACTTTATTAGTGATCTAGGATTGTCTGCACGCCCCATCCCTCTCCGAAAACTCTATCCTAGTCATATCTCACCTGTTTATGCTCAGCATTATTTTTAAATTTTAATTATTACATTTGGCCCAGCCATAGGTTTTTAAACGTCGTTGTGTTACTGTTAATGTTTATTGCTTATCTTCTGTTATGAGTTTTATTTTATTGTTTTGTATTACTGTTGTTATTGCTTTTATTACTGATGTATTGTGGGCTTGGCCTCATGTAAGCCACACCGAGTTCCTTGAGGAGATGGTAGCGGGGTATAAATAAAGTTTTATTATTATTATTTATATAGTAGGTTGCTTACCACTCTGGGGATGCAAACAAACATCTGGCAAAGTGGGTGGATAGGAGTCCCACAACCTAAACAGACCTCCATGAGCTCTTTCCCAATCACACTTTTTCTACTCTATATGGACATGCTTAAAAGCCTCATAAGCTCTGCAGCATCTTGGGTGCAGAAGCACTGAAGTATCAATTATCCCCGCAATCACGGCATAAGGTGTCCGCCTATTTCCTTTTGATGAGCAGTGTTTTGGGGTTTTTTTAAGGCTCCAAGCAACAGAAGTGCAAGACTTGAGGGGGAGGAAAAGCGTTGGATACAGGCCCGAAGTCTTGAGGGGTTATTAAGTTGTCTTTCTGCTGGAGCAGGCGAGATAGCAGCCAAAGCTGTGATAGGAAAGGAATGCCAAGGAAAAAGGACGGAGATAGTGTTTATCTGGCTCGGCATCCATGCAGATAAACAGGCTCAGCTTCCTGCCCTTTTGCGAGGTCTGCTCAAGTTAAAAGACGCCAGATTGTACCTCTTCATACATTCCCACTCCAGAAAATGAATCTGCTTGATCTAACATTCCAGGCAATGTTTATGAACACAATACCCATGTCTGAACTCTAAGCTATTCCGAGAGGGGAAAAAAGCAAGGAAAAAGGCTTAGATCCGTGGTTCTCAACCTTCCTAATGCTGCAACCCCTTAATATAGTTCTTCATGTTGTGGTGACCCCCAACCATAAAATTATTTCTGTTCCTTCTTCATAACTGCGGTTTTGCTACTGTTATGAATCGTAATGTAAATATATGATATGCAGGATGTATTTTCATTCACTGGACCAAATTTGGCACAAATACCCAATACGCCCAAATTTGAATACTGGTGGGCTTAGGGGGGGATTGATTTTGTCATTTGGAAGTTGTAGTTGCTGGGATGTATAGTTCATCTACAATCAAAGAGCATTCTGAACTCCACCAACAATGGAACTGAACCAAACTTGGCACACAGAACTCCCATGACCAAGAGGAAATACTGGAAAGGTTTGATGGGCATTGGCCTTGAGTTTTAGAGTAGTAGTTCACCTACATCCAGAGAGCACTGTGGACTCAATGATGGATCTGGACCAAACTTGGCATGAATACTCAATATGCCCAAATGTGAACACTGGTGGAGTTTGGGGGAAATAGACCTTGACATTTGGGTAGTTGTAGTTGCTGGGATGTATAGTTCACCTAAAATAAAAAGAGCATTCTGAACTCTACCAAGAATGGAACTGAACCAGCCTTGGCACACAAAACTCCCATGACCAAGAGGAAATACTGGAAAGGTTTGGTGGGCATTGGCCTTGAGTTTTAGAGTTGTAGTTCACCTACTTCCAGAGAGCACTGTGGACTCAATGATGGATCTGGACCAAACTTGGCACAAATAGTCAATATGCCAAAATGTGAACACTGATGGACTTTGGGGAAAATAGACCTTGACATTTGGGGAGTTGTAGTTGCTGGGATTTATAGTTCACCTACAATCAAAGAGCATTCTGAAATCCACCAATAATGGAACTGAACCAAACTTGGCACACAGAACTCCCATGACCAAGAGGAAATACTAGAAAAGTTTGATGGGCATTGGCCTTGAGTTTTAGAGTTGTAGTTCACCTACATCCTGAACCCCACCAACAATAGAATCCTGAACCCCACCAACAATAGAATTGGGCCAAATTTCTCACACAATTCCCCCCATGACCAACATGGTGGCTGGGAGAGCGCCAGCTGAGCCCATTTCTTGGGAAGTCTGACTTGGCCATCGTGGTCCACGCTCTGGTTACATCTCGTATAGACTACTGCAACGCTCTCTATGGGTTGCCTTTGAAGACTGTTCAGAAGCTTCAAATGGTCAACGGGCTGCAGCCAGGTTGCTAACAGGAGCGGCGCTCAGGGAGCATACAACTCCTCTGTTGCGCCAGCTCCATTGGCTGCCAATCTGCTACCGAGCACAATTGTACGAAGATGGAACCCTGGATGATGGTGAATACAATCCTACTGATGATAGGCCATCCAGAGCTGATCAATTTGAAGATATAAAGCCCTAAACGATTCCGGCCCGGCTTACCTGTCCGAACGTATCTCTCCTTACGAACCCTCTAGGAATTTAAGATCTTCTGCGGAGGCCCTCCTCTCGGCCCTGCCATCTTCACAGGCCCGATTGGCGGGGACGAGGGATAGGGCCTTCTCAGCGGTGGCCCCTCAGTTGTGGAATGCTCTCCTCAGGGACATTAGATCAGCCTCCACCCTCTTAACGTTTTGCAAAAGAGTAAAAACCTGGCTATATGAGCAGGCTTTCCCAAACGCAATGTAGCTATTAAATTCTGATCTTGGAACGGTTGGACAACGTGACTGGACAATGACTGGTAATGAAATGCGGAGGACTTATGGTTTTTATTATGTTAATTGATGTTAATTGTAATGATTTTTTTTATCCATGTTAAATGTTTTTAATGTTTAAATTATTTTTGTACTGTTGTGGGCATCGAACTGTGCTGTTTTGTAAACCGCCATGAGTCGCCCTCGGGCTGAGAATGGCGGTATAGAAGCATAGTAAATAAATAAATAAAACGCTGTGTTTTCTGATGGTCTTTGGCAATCCCTCTGACACCCCCTTGCCCCCCCCATGGATTCCCCCCCCCCCCAGGTTGAGAAATGTGGATATGAATCAGGGTGCCTCAAACTAAGGCCTGGGGGCTGGATGTGGCCCTCCAAGGTCATTTACCCGGCCCTCGCTCAGGGTCAACCAAAGTCTGAAACGACTTGAAAGCACACAACAGCAACAACAACAATCCTATCTCCTCAGCCTAAAGCAGGTTCACACTTCCCATTGAAATACTAATAGGCTTATATTTGTTAAAATATTCTTCATTTTAATTATTGTATTGTTTTAAAGTGTTTTTTTACACTACAAATAAGATATGTGCAGTGTGCATAGGAATTCATTCATTTTTTTTTTCAAATTATAATCCGGCCCTCCAACTGTTTGAGGGATTGTTTGAGGCCCTCTGCATGGAGCGCTGTTACCTTGGGAAGTCTGACTTGGCCACGGTGGTCCATGCTCTGGTTACATCCCGTTTAGACTACTGCAATGCTCTCTATGTGGGGTTGCCTCTGAAGACTGCCTGGAAGCTCCAATTAGTCCAATGAGCTGCAGCCAGATTACTAACAGGAGTGGGGTACAGGGAGCATACTACTCCTCTGTTGCGCCAGCTCCACTGGCTGCCAATTAGCTTCCGTGCACAATTCAAAGTGCTGGTGCTAACCTATAAATCCCTAAACGACTCTGGCCCAGTTTACCTGTCTGAACGGATTCTCCCCATGAACCATCAAGATTGTTAAGATCGTCTGGAGGGGCCCTGCTCTTGGTCCCGCCACCCTCGCAATCGCGCCTGGTGGGGACGAGGGACAGGGTCTTCTCGGTGGTGGCCCCTCGGCTCTGGAACTCTCTCCCACTGGAGATTAGAACTGCCCCTTCTCTCATGACTTTTAGAAAACAGGTGAAAACCTGGCTCTCGAAACTGGCATTTGACGAGTGAGTTAATAACTCGTGACTACCCGGACGGATGGTGATGAACTACGATTTCATTTTGACGACTTGGCCTATGTAATTATATGATTGTATTTTAGTATTTTAATGTTTTTAGGGATATGATGTTTTAAACGATTGTCTGTGATACTGTTGTTGTGAATCGGCGGAGGTAAGAAGACCGGTATATAAAAGTTCTAAATAAATAAATAAAATAAATTTGAGGACCCCTGATATAAATGAACTAATCAAACCAAGAAACAGTTTAAAACACAATGCCGCGGTTTTCCTTACCTGAAAGGACTGTTGGTTGACCAAACTGTAAACTAGGATGAATCCCTGGCCATTCTTAATGTAGAGATCGCGCATGGAGGCAAACTGTTCCGTCCCTGCCGTATCCAGGATTTCCAGCACTGACGGGGAGCAGTCCACTTCAATCTCCTTCCGGTAGAAGTCTTCGATGGTGGGGTCGTACTTCTCGATGAAGGTCCCGGTGACGAACTGCACGGTGAGGGCCGACTTGCCCACCCCCCCACTCCCAAGAACCACAACTTTGTACTCCCTCATGGGCGCTGCTTTCCTCTCTGCCCAGCATAAAACAGGAAGGCTTCACGCCTGGAGGCAAGTGGAGGGGGGAACGGCTCGCAGCGGCCCAGCAGGCTAAGAGGAAGGGGAGAAGAAGAAGAAGAAAAAAGAGAGTTGCCACCACATTCTGGATCTTTATCTGGGGTTGGGGAAGAGGAGAGATTTAAGTACAAGCCTCAAACTGGGAGGGGACGAGGGAGCGAGGAGTAAAAGCACAGGTTTCTTGTAAAGAAATGGCTCCAAATTCCTTCATATTGGGTTTTCTGCCAAGTTTGATAAGGGTGGGGGGGGGGGGGGGGGGGGGGGAGCTCAACTTTAGGTTGTAGTTTGGCACTGGCATTAGCTTCATACTTTGCCTTACTGAGGCCCCTTCAACACTGCCATATAATCCAGAATATCAAAGCAGATAATTCCATGCTTTGATCCAAAGATCCAAACAATGCAGTGTCAGCTGCATTAAGATCATTCTGACCAAAAAGGTCATGAGTTCGAAGCCAGCCCGGGTTGGAGTGGGTTCCCAACCAATTTTGTGTAGCCTGTTGTCGACCTTTGCAACCCGAAAGACAGTTGCATCTGTCAAGTAGGAAAATAAGGTACCACCTTAAAGTGTGGGGAGGCTAAATTAACTGATTTATGAGGCCATAAAGAAGACTCCAGCAAAGCATTCCAGCGAGGAAGCATGCAGGGAATGCGGAAGTGCTTCATCAGCGTCGCAGATGGACGATGAAAGCGACAGCTCCCCTGGCGGCCAGAAAAAGTTAAATAGCCTCTGTCTATGTCTGACAGAGGCTATTTAATGTTTGCCATATATGTGTACACTGTAATCCGCCCTGAGTCCCCTGCGGGGTGAGAAGGGTGGAATATAAAAGCTGTAAATAAATAAATAAATAATTGAGTTATAGAGAGAGAGATATTAAGATATTGAGATAGTAATTGAGAAATAGAGAGAAATAGCTATTGAGTACTATTGAGCATTACATCATCTCCAAACTGACCTTGTGCTTAGATAGGGAAAAACCTGTTTTTTCTAACCATAGCAGCTCAGGGTTAGGGTGAAATATCTCCGGATTTTTTCTACCATTTGGAGAAAGGTTACTTCAGTAATTGAAGAAAAAGGGAAAGAAAGAACATCTCTATGGTTTCTCAAATTGACTGTTTGTGTTGTAACTTTATCAAGCTGTGCCAAGTCTGCCAAGGACTTTGGAAATAAACATTTTGTTGATGATAGCCTCTGTCTATGTCTGTATATGTTTGTATGTCAAAAATTGGCATTGAATGTTTGCCATATATGTGTACACTGTAATCCACCCTGAGTCCCCTGCGGGGTGAGAAGGGAGGAATATTAAAACTGTAAATAAATAAATAAATAAATAAATAAATAAATAAGGGCTCCAAACAGGAGAGGGAAGGTCCCACCCCCAAAAAGTACCCCTAGACTGGCTTGTTCAGATGGAGCTGAAAAGGGTACAAAGCTCCACAGGAGGAGGATTAAAGTAAAAGTAAAGGTATAGACATTAATAATAATAATAATAATAATAATAATAATAATAATAAACTTTATTTGTACCCCACCCCCATCTCCCCAATGGGGATTCAGAGCAGCTTACATGGGGCCAGGCCCAAACAACAATTACAATAGAGAGAACCAAAACACAACCAAAAACGCAAACAATAAACAACATCAGAATTACATAGAACATATGAATACATAACAATATAAAAATTACAATAGACACAGACACAGAGACAATGGGCGGGCTACATGTAATTATTAAAAACAACTAATTAAAACTAATTATAAACTCAGACAAGATAAATGAGAGAAGCAGATAATATGCGGAGTAGGACTCATCATGGCAGGGGTTGTGGAGTCAGGCTTTCCCACAAAGGGGGGGATGGGACATCTACTCTAATGACAGAATTATCATCTAAACAGTCATGTGAAATTGTACCTACTCATCAAAGAGCCAAGTTTTAAGATTCTTCTTAAAAACTTCTAAAGAAGGGGTGTTTGGTGTTAAGTTGTTAAAGTTGGGTGTCTGACCCTGGGGGTTGGTGCTCATCTCCATTTCCAAGCTAAAGAACCCGTGTTGTCCGTAGATGCCTCCTAGATCATGTGGCTGGCATGGCTGCATGGAGCGCTGTTACCTTCCCGCCGAAGCAGTACCTATTGATCTACTCACATTTGCATGTTTTCGAATTGTTAGACTGGCAGAAGCTGGGCCTAACAGTGGGAGCTCACCCCACTCCCTGGTTTCGAACTGCTGACATTTTGGTCACCAAGTTCAGGTTTAACCCGCTGCACCACCAGGGAGGCCAGATGAGGATTAATCGAACTCTATTATCCATTAAGGGGATCCCGGCCCACAAGAAAGGCTCCACGGCTAGCCTGTTCAAAGGTGGGAAAGTGCCACGCTCCACTCGATGGGAATAATCTGATCCCAAATCAAGTTTTAAGGAAGGATCTAAAGGAGGGAGAGGAGGAGCCTGAAAACGTGGTTGTTCCAGTGTGCCTTCCCAGAATAAGGAAAATTCTCAGCAATATGCCCTCAAAATGCACTTTACCACTGATTTAGGATTGACTACCTTGTTCATGCCCAGAGTTGTTTTTTTAATTTTTTAAACTATTACATTTGTCCGGGCATAGGTTTTTAAATCCTTGTGTGTTATTGTTTTGATGTGATTTGTATTAACTGTATTGTATTTATTGTTTTTGTTTATTGATGTACTGTTGGGCTTGGCCTCATATAAGCCGCTCTGAGTCCCTTGGGGAGATGGTGGCGGGGTATAAATAAAGTTCTATTATCATCATCATCATCATCATCATTGTACATTGTACTCAGTACCCCAAGTTCATATATCTAAGCAAGGGCTGCAAAGCTCCACATAATGTGTTTGTGTGTGTCACATAGGGTTGGTATTATGTGTGTGTGTGTGTATTATATATGTGTTTATGTGTATTATATGTGCGTGTGTGTTTATGTCATTTAGTAATTTATTTTAGTTCTATTTTCACTTTTTTATTTGTTGTACTCTGCCTTGAGACATGAGAAGAGATAATAAACAACGTGCACTATGATTATGATGTTTATTTGTACCATGCTTTCTTTCTCCACAAAAGGGATGCAAAGTGGCTGATAGTAAAATCAAACGAGACACAATTTAAAACCTAAACACATTAAAAAGAAAAGGGAGGTGCAAATTTCCATAGCAAGACAGGAATGGATCCCAGCTCGGTTTCAAAAGGAGGCCCCAAACAGAAAGAGGAAGCCCCCCACTCCAAACGTCATGCAAGCCTGGCTTGTTTATATTAACTATTATTGTTATAATAAATAACCAGGTTTTTTTATAATAAATCTCAGGTTTTGGCGGTGGCCAGGGGAGCATTTTCACAATTATAACTTGTGCCCCAGCTGCGCCCGTACCTTGAGAAGCCAGACTTGGCCACCGTTGTCCACGCTCTTGTTACATCTCAAACAGACTACTGGAACATGATCTACATGGGGTTGCCTTTGAAGACTGGTGAGAAGCTTCCTGTAGTCCAGTGGGTGGCATAGAATCATAGAGTTGGAAGAGACCTCATGGGCCATCCAGTCCAACCCCCGGCCAAGAAGCAGGAATATTGCATTCAAATCACCCCTGACAGATGGCCATCCAGCCTCTGTTTAAAAGCTTCCAAAGAAGGAGCCTCCACCACACTAAATGGCAGAGAGTTCCACTGCTGAATAGCTCTCACAGTCAGGAAGTTCTTCCTCATGTTCAGATGGAATCTCCTTTCTTGGAGTTTGAAGCCATTGTTCCGCATCCTAGTCTCCAGCAGCCAGATTGTTCAACTCCCTGCTGCTTCAGCTCCTTTGGCTACCAATTTGATACCAAGCACAATTCAAAGTGCTGGCTTTAGTCTATAAAGCCCTAAACGGTTCTGGCCAAGCTTACCTGTCCGAATGTATCCCCCCAATGAACCAAGCCAGATGGTAAGATCTTCTGGGGAGGCCCTGCTCTCAGCCCCCCCTCCTTCGCAGGGTCTACTCTAATGATCAAGGGTCTGGAGAACAAGCCCTATGAGAAGTGGCTTAAAGAGCTGGGTATCTTTAGCCTAAGAAGAGAAGGCTGAGAGGAGACATGATAGCCATGTATAAATACGTGAGTGGAAGTCACAGGGAGGAGGGAGCAAGCTTGTTTTCTGCTTCCCTGGAGACTTGGACGCAATGGAACAATGGCTTCAAACTACAAGAAAGGATTCCATCTGAACATGAGGAAGAACTTCCTGACTGTGAGAGCCGTTCAGCAGTGGAACTCTCTGCCCCGGAGTGTGGTGGAGGCTCCTTCTTTGGAAGCTTTTAAACAGAGGCTGGATGGCCATCTGTCAGGGGTGATTTGAATGCAATATTCCTGCTTCATGGCAGAATGGGGTTGGACTGGATAGTAGCATGACTTCCCAGGATTTCCCTGAACATGAGGAAGAACTTCCTGACTGTGAGAGCCGTTCAGCAGTGGAACTCTCTGCCCCGTAGTGTGGTGGAGGCTCCTTTTTTGGAAGCTTTTAAACAGAGGCTGGATGGCCATCTGTCAAGGGTGCTTTGAATGCAATATCCCTGCTTCTTGGCAGAATGGGGTTGGACTGGTGTCAGGCCCTTCCTCTGTCCTGTTTGGGGCCTTCTTTTTGAATGGAGATCCGTGAATGCCTCCCAGGAAGCGGGATGTCAATAAATGTATTGCTTATTATTGATGAATACATCCCCCAACTGGCCCGCCTTGGATTACATTCGAGGGAAAGCCTGGGAGGCCTGAATGGGGTCAGTTTCAGGGGAGGGAGCCCCTTCTCGGCGGGGAAAGACAACGCCCAGCCCTTCTTCCCTTCCTCCTTCCTTCCCTTCCCACTCTTTCCCCTTCCTTACCGCTCTCCTGGCCCTGAGGCCCGCTTCCTCCTCCTCCGCCGCCGCCTTTTCACTCCATGGCCGGCCGCAAACGTTCCTCACTCCACAGCCAGGGAACCGCCCGACTAAGAACCCGCCCGGACCACTTTCGCAGAGGCACTTCCGGGGACGCCTCTGCCGGTGACACCCTCCCAAAGGCTCCGAGGCCTACACTTCCGGTGCGCCAGGAGGGACGCTTCCGCCACGATCATGACAGCTCGACTCTCCGTCTCAGGCTTAGAGGGGCAACCATAGAGAGGCAAAGCGCAGAGCGGTACCCACGGCCCATTATCTGGAGAACAATGGCGCCTTTCCAGCGGAAGTCCCGCCTCCCTGTTGTTGCTCTGCGCTGGGCTAGCTACCGGAAGTGCCTCCGAGGAGGGAACCTAGTGGCTGTAACACCCCAAAGGGGGGGATTTTTAAAAGTGTGACACACTTTCAGATACATTCGGCTCCTAATCGGGTGAAAAACAAAGATGGTGGGTAAGACATAACATTATTGTCATTATTCTTCACTATTCTCTGCTCATTGCAACATCTACCAATGGCAAAGATATATATAAATATAGAATATTGTATATGTATAATTTTATTGTAACTTTATAATATATCTATATATGAAATATATTCTATACATTCTAACTATATCTATCTCTATCTATCTCTATCTATCTATACATCTATTTATATCTATCTATATCTATCTATACATCCATCTATCTATATCTATATCTATCTATCTCTATCTATCTATATCTATCTATCTCTCTATCTATCTATCTATCTATCTATCTATATCTATCTATACATCTATCTATATCTATCTATCTATCTATCTATCTATATCTGTCTATCTATATCTATCTATACATCCATCTATCTATATCTATCTATCTCTATCTATATCTATCTCTCTATCTCTCTATCTATCTATCTATATCTATTTATATCTATCTATATCTATCTATCTATCTCTATCTATCTATATCTATCTATACATCTATCTATATTTATCTATCTATCTATCTATCTATCTATCTATATCTGTCTATCTATATCTATCTATACATCTATCTATATCTATCTATACATCTATCTATATCTATCTATACATCTATCTATCTATCTATATCTATCTATATCTATCTAGCTCTATCGATCTATACATCTATCTATATCTATCTATCTATATCTATCTATCTCTATCTATACATCTATCTATCTATCTCTATCTATCTCTATCTATATCTATCTATCTATCTATCTCTATCTATCTCTATCTATCTATATATATCTCTCTCTCTCTATCTATCTATATCTATTTATATCTATCTATATCTATCTATACATCTATCTATCTCTATCTATCTATCTATCTCTTTCTATCTATATCTGTCTATCTATATCTATCTATACATCTATCTATATATCTCTCTCTCTATCTATCTATCTATCTATATCTATCTATCTATATCTATATCTATCTATCTATATCTATCTATCTCTATCGATCTATACATCTATCTATCTCTATCTATCTATATCTATCTATATATCTATCTATCTCTATCTATCTCTATCTATCTATACATCTATCTATATCTATCTCTATCTATCTATCTATCTATCTATACATATATATATAAATGCTCTGTGCGTAATGAGTACCTTAAAAACAAAAGAACCAATGAACGAAATCACACCAAATTTGGCAACAAAACGTCTCACAACACAAGGAGTGACCATCACTCAAAAAATATATATGATTTTGTCATTTGGGAGTTGTAGTTGCTCGGATTTATAGTGCACCTACAATCAAAGAGTATTCGGAACTCCACCAATGATGGAATTGAACCAAACTTGGCACACAGACCTCCCATGACAAACAGAAAATACTGGAAGGGTTTGGTGGGCATTGACGCTGAGTTTGGGAGTTGTAGTTCACCTACATCCAGAGAGCACCATGGACGCAAACAATGATGGATCTGGACCAAACTTGGCACGAATACTCCATATGCCCAAATATAAAGACAGATGGAGTTTGGGGGAGATAGACCTTGACATTTGAGAGTTGTAGTTACTGGGATTTATGGTTCACCTACAATCAAGGACCATTCTGAATTTATTTATTTATTTATTTGCAGCATTTATATTCCGCCCTTCTCACCCCGCAGGGGACTCAGGGCGGATTACAGTGTACACATATATGGCAAACATTCAATTCCAATTTTAACATACAACATATACAGACATACACAGAGGCTATTTAACTTTTTCTGGCCGCCAGGGGAGCTGTCGCTTTCATCGTCCATCTGCGACGCTGATGAAGCACTTCCGCATTCCCCGCATGCTTCCCCGCTGGAATGCTTTGCTGGAGTCTTCTTTATGGCCTCATAAATCAGTTAATTTAGCCTCCCCACACTTTAAGGAGGTACCTTGTTTTCCTACTTGACAGATGCAACTGTCTTTCGGGTTGCAAAGGCCAACAACAGGCTACACATAATTGGTTGGAAACCCACCCCAACCCGGGCTGGCTTCGAACTCATGACCTTTTGGTTAGAGTGATCTTAATGCAGCTGACACTCAGCCTGCCGCGCCACAATCCCGGTGCCCCACCAACGACAGAATTGGGGCAAACTTTCCACACAGAACCCTCAAGACCAACAGAAAATACTGTGTTTTTGAGTGGTCTTTGGCGATCCTTCTGACACCCCCTCACAACACCCCCCCCCAGGGGTCCCAAACCCCAGGTTGACAAATGCTGCCTTAAAGCCATCCAGTCCAACTCCCTTCACCAGGGCAAGAAAACAAAATCAAAGCCCTCCTGACAAAGGGCCATCCAGCCATTCACACACACACATATATGTATATGACAGATGCAGTATCATAGATTTGAAAGGGACCCCTAAAGAAGGACAATGATATGTTGCATGTTCCAGGATGGGCAAACCAGACAATCTCCACATCAACACTGACAAAGAAACAGCAAGAAATACTGTTTACCCACAAGCAGAAAGAAATTACATATATTAGAAACCAACACTTTCTCATTACTTTATTTTCCAGATCACCAGACTGAGCCACAGCAACATGTGGCTGGGGACAGCTAATATATATATCATTGGGGAAATATATATATTATAAAGTTACAATAAAATTATATACCTATAATACTCTCACCCAACCTATTCAACTAGTATGCAGAACACATCATGCGATGTGCGGGGCTTGATGAATGCAACACCTGGGGTTAACATTGCTGGAAGAAACATTAACAACCTGGGATATGCAGATGACACCACTTCGATGGCCAAAAGTGAGGAGGAGCTGAGTAGCCTTCTAATCAAGGTGAAAGGAGAAAGCGTGAAAGCTGGGTTGCAGCTAACCATAAAAAAACCCCAAGATTATGGGAACAAGAATGATTGACAACTGGGAAATAGAGGGAGAAAACGTGGAGGCCGTGACAGACTTTGTATTTCTAGGTTCAAAGATTACTGCAGACACAGACTGCAGCCAGGAAATCAGAAGACATTTCCTTCTTGGGAGGAGAGTAATGACCAATCTCGATAAAATAGTGAAGAGTAGAGACATGACACTGGCAATGAAGGTCCTCATAGTAAAAGCAATGGTATTCCCCATAGTAACCTATGGATGTGAGATCGGGACCATAAGGAGGGCTGAGCTAAGGACGATAGATGCTTTTGAACTGTGGTGCTGGAGGAATGTGCCTTGGACTGCGAGAAGATCAAACCGACATACTTCATGAAATAAAGCCGACTGCTCACTGGAGGGAAGGATATTAGAAGCAAAGATGAAGTACTTTGGCCATATACCCAGCAATGCCCCCTTTGTAACGATAAACATAAAAAGTATTAACTGTTCAATTCTGGAAATTCAGAATAGACTCATTAGAAAATGCATAAAAATATGGGTAAATGACAACTCCCATCATCATCTGTCATTGTTCAACCCCGCCATTATTCAAAATTGGCCATGTTGCGTATAAGTGTCAATTTTGGTCCAGGTGCATCATTGTTTGGGTTCACAGTGCTCTCTGGATGCAGGGTGAACTACAGCTCCTGCCATGGTGGGTCAGCCCCCTCCCCCATGCCCCTCCAGTATGTCCTGTTGGTAATGGGGAGGGGGGCGGCTATGTGCCAAGTGTGGCCCATCATTGGTAGGAGTCACAGGTCTGTCTGGAAGTGGGAGCAATAGGAAATTAGAGTCGGTCTTTTGGAAATTAGTCATTATTTGATCTTGGGTTCAATGAATGATCCCATTAAAAAGGTATACGGATATGGGTGAGCTGCAAGTCCCATCATCCTCTGTCATTTCCCACCAAACCCTGCCAGTATTTAAAGTAGCCACTGGGGAGTCTATTTGAGAAGTGTGGTCCAGATCCATCGCTGATATGGTTTGCAGTGATATCTGGATGTGGGTATATGTACTGCAAACTCCCATTGTCCAGGGCCTATCCACCTACCACATATATATATATATATATATATATATATATATGAACAAAATCATTTATATTTTTTGGTCTTGTACAATGTCATTTTCTTATTGGAAGCACTAATAATATGATGTTATAATTATATATTTCATATTACATATAATATTACTAATAATATTACAATATAATTTTATAGTACAATATAGTGATGTATAGCACTGATACTCATGGTATAATGTATTATGTGTATGTGTACACACACACACACACACACACACACACACACACATATATATGTCTTGTAAGCCTTCGGGGCGAGAAGGGCGGTATATAAATGTCACAAATAAAAATAAATAGTTTTTTCCTATAGATTTCCTCCAGCTGTCACTTTTCAAAGGGCCGCTAGGTGTCAATCCAGGCTTTTGAGCAAAACTCTCAGATCTAGGAATTCTGCCTTTGGATCAGCACAAGGCCGGTTTGAAATTAAGGGGATTTCCAAACATACCTCACCTTCCTCCTCCTTAATAACTCAGAAGTTTGGTCTTGTTGGGAGCAAAAACTGAGTTCATAGAAAATAAAGCAACAGCACAAGTGAGTCATCTCAATTACAATGAATCACAGAGCTTTTGCCTCCAACCACCTATAAACACCTATGAAAATATTCCGTTTTCTAGGTGTAACCCTCTCTTCCTAAGACTTTTTCCAGCTTAGAGATGGTGAAATCTGTCGAATGCCAAAAATATTCT